TCCTAAACTCAGTTCAGTTCCATTGCTCTGTTCACTCGACAAGAACTTGTTCTCTCTACACGGACGAACACACACACACATGCATATGATGTCACAGAAGAATCTCAATCGACGAACAGTAATCAGTGGCAGATCAGTTGAGCATCTTAAGCTTTTCAGGCAGAGTTACGGTATGCGAAACGTTGTGATATTGCGCGCTTGCCGTTGCCTTCTTTAACATCACAAGATGGTGATGATTATTACGAGGAAATTGATGATGAACAATCAGCACAAGAAATAGCGGTACAGCAAACGGACCACGACTTAGATTCTGGTACGTTCAGTCCTCGGACAATTGCCGGTGACAGTAGAAGACGACGACCACTAGACAGTCAGCAGACAACAGATATACAAACTAATCTGTAAAGGTTTCTTCTGATCCTGTCGCTACAATTATGCTAAAAGCTCTGAGCAGTCAGTTAAACACGGAGCTGCATTTTTAGCGCCAACAAATGATTTTGTACGACGGCATCGTTCATCACTTGTGGGGCAAACAGTAGATAATCACATGAGAACAGGTAGCGTTGTTTCTGCAGTGAGTGCATTCCCGAGGTATGTGGGAAACTCTATCATTTGACCCATTTTTTCAAGGAGGCACCGAGTTGGTACTATTGATTCTTACGCGCTCCGCATGAGTTTCACAAGCAGTGAACGCTGTAGTTACCTTTTGCATGACTTCTCATTTTCCCTTGTTTTTTTATAAAAAAAATTGCAGTATGAATGTGGTACTTTCGCACTGACATATGCGCGAAGGTTTATTCGATCGGCTCTTTGTATTTGAAGTCGCTCGCTTAAAATGTTTCGAACAAAATGCCTGTATTGTTATAGCATTTTGACGTGCCTTCTTGGTAGCCCAAATAGTTGCTCCAGCGGCATTAGCGGCGCCGGCAACTTCTCATTGCGATCAGCCCGGTGTATTTCTCAGTCCCACCTAATTGCATTCATTTGTTTTTTACCTAATGGATCTCGTTATGCTTGAGCCAGTGTGCTGCTTCAAACTTGATTTCTAGCTTTTCGAAAGGGCATTTCTGCTCGAAGATTGACAGCTTTCTCTGTGCGAGCTTACTGCTAAATAATGGGTAGTTTTTGGTTGAACAAACGAAACCAAATTTTCCAGTTACTCTCAGTGAACCTGTAAATTCAAAGCTTTTCTTGCATGAATTCCAC